GCTTGTTTAATCTCTATTATGTCTCAAGGGGGAGCTCTGGTGGCACAGTGCCTAAGGCACTTGACTGCTAACCAGAAGGCTGGCGGTTCAAACCTACCAGCCACTCCTCAGAAAGAAGGTTGGACAATCTACTTCCATAGGGATACAGCCTCAGAAACCCAAGGAGAGGTTGCTATGAGTTGGATCAACTCGAGGGCAGTGAGTTTGGTTTTGCTTTTGGTTTATAGCTCAAGAAACATTGACTCCTGATACACCTGATCCTAATCCTGCCTCATTAACATAATAAACAACCCGTTCACAAGAGGAATTGCAACCCCAGGCAGAAGTTAGGGTTTGTAACATATTTTGGGGACACATAGTTCAATACAGAACAGGAAGTAAGAATGAACTCAGAGAGGTCAACCAGCCCCAAGGCTGTTGTAATAAACCAGGTGAGACATGGGGTTGGAGTAAATGAAGGGGGCAGCAGTGTTGGGTCAGGGAGTGGGGTGGGGAGTGGCTAGAACCAAGATTTATGTTGGGAATAGACCATCAGATCTGAATTATGGGTATGTCCAGTGAGAGAGAAGGCGAGGTCTGGGATCTTGTTAACTTTTTGTTTTGTCTGGAACATTGGTGGAACCATTTGCTGAGATGAAAGAAAAGCCTAGGGAAGCAGCAGGCTTGGGGAAGGTGAATTAAGAGTTCCATTTGGGATATATTGCATTTGAGATGTTTTTGGAAATACAAACAGATACCCAGCAGGAAGTCTGATATAGGAGTCTGGAGCCCACGGGAGAGGTCTGGTCTAGAAATATACATTTGTGAGTCACCAGCATATAGATGGTATTTAAAGCCAGGAGGCTGGATGAGATCACCTAGGGGCGAGATTATAGCTAGAAAGAGAGGTCCAAGGCTGAGCCGGGAAGAAGAGGAGGAGCCCCGAAGATCGGTGAGTGTGGCCCCCATGCTTGGAGTCAGGGACGGGGTGTGCTCTGCTGATACACAGAAGGAAAAGAGGAGGAACCATCAGAGCTGATGAGTTGAAAGGTGGACTTGGCAAAAGTAGCTTCCGTGGAGTGATGAGGACCCAGACAGGTGAGGAGGGGCTGAGGAAGAAGTTAAAGGCGAGAGAGTGGAGACTCCAACCCCCTTAGGAGCTGTCCTTCTAGACTGTCAAGATGTGTGGTGCCCCCTGTGGTCTCCCAGGGCAGAGACCATGTCCTGATGGTTTTTAGCTAAGCCACAATAGAGCCCAGCCTAGCACATGGCAGGAGCTCATGCAGTTATCCAATGGCTGGATGAACGGATGATTGGACAACTCACTGCTGGAGTCTAAAAGCCCTTTTCTGGCAGAGACAGCAGCTGGGTTCTTTTGAGGCAACTAAAGAAACTGGAGCATAGTGGCTAAGGCACTTGACTGCTGACCAGAAGGCTGGCGGTTCAAACCCACCAGCCACTCCTTGGAAGATGGGGCGATCTACTTCCATAGTGATACTGCCTCAGAAACCCAAGGAGGGGTCGCTATGAGTCGGGTCTGACTTGACTGCACATAACAACAACAAAGACACTCAAAAAAGAGTCCACCCTAGAGGAAACAGGCTCGGGATCCCTCCTCCCAGCTAAGCCAGAGGTGCAGCTGCAGGCCTGGCTGTTTGAGTCCCTGCTTCCCCTCACTGGCTCCGGGACTTTAGGCAAGTGGTTTCCTTTCTGTCAGAAGTGCAGGGGAAGCTGCTTACGTGAGCCAGTCCCAACGGGGCTCAGGTAGGTAGCACCCCTCCTCTCCTTCCCATTCTCTGCTGTCTGGGTTGTTTTCTGGTTAAGAACTAGGAACTGACCATGGCAAGGGTTGCTGTGAGAATACATGGGCTAATAGTACTTTGGGAGCTCCAGTGGCATAGTGTCTAAGGCACTTGACTGCTAACCAGAAGGCTGATGGTTCAAACCCACCAGCCACTCCTCGGAAGGAAGGTCGGGCAATCTACTTCCGAAGTGATACTGCCTCAGAAACCCAAGGAGGGGTCACTCCCTTGGGGCCCTTGAGGGCAGAGAGATGAAGTATCCGGTAGGAAGGAGTCTTCCATACCCCACAGACATACACCTGGCTTTGAGGGAGTCATGGAAAAAGGGTCTCTCAGGAGCTGTGGGACAGGTCACAGCCAGCTAAGGCATCTAGATACATAGTAAGACCAAAACCAAAGAATAAACCCACTGCCACTGAGTTGATTAGGACTCAGAGTGACCTTCTATGACAAGAAGAATTGCCTCAGGGTTTTCAAGGTTGCCAATCTTTACAGAAGCAGACTGCCTCATCTTTCTCCCACAAAGCAGCTGGTGGGTTTGAACCACTGACCTTTTGGTTAGTAGTGAATGCTTTAACTATTGTACCACCAGGCCAAGGAGACCCTGAAATGTCTTTGGACTTGGGTGGGGTGGAGCACATCATGGGTACCCAGAAGTGGAAGGAGCTGTTGGGAAGTGACAAAGAGAAAAAAGAAGAAACTAGAAAGGAAAAATGGAAACAGCCCTTAGGGGAGTCCACAGGCTGCAGAAAAGAAAATGACCCAGAGGGAAGCCTGCCAAGGCTCTCTAGTTGGCCAAGAGTCCTGCCTCAGGGTGGGCAGGGAGCTTCCTGTTAACAGCCCCCCTGCCCGTTGTCCCCCTACCCGTTGTCCCCTACAGTGTTGTTTTTTTCTGGCAGCGCTCAGAGCAACTTGGGGAGAGACTGGAGGTGGGTCTGGAAACTCAGCTGCCCCTTCCTTGGGTTAGAAGAGGTGATACAAGCCGGCAGGAGTGGCTACTGCTGCCACCTAGTGGGAAAAACCTGTTATTTCGCTTGACTCCTAACTCCAGGGGCTTCCCTCAGCGGACCTCCAAAGAGACAGGGTTTGGGATGTAGGGGAGACCAGTTTCCCTGCATTTGCGAACACAATGCAAGGGGGAGCCTCGTGGAGGAAGATACACACCCTTGCGAAGTGTGTATTGCCCATATAACTTTGCCCAACGAGGGGGTCAACAGTACCGACCTCAGGACTGTCACAAAGGCTCAGTGAGTCCATGGATGTAAAGTACTCAGCATAGTAACAAATGGTCCATAAATGCTACCTGTGGAAACTAGAGGGGTTACCACCCGCATGTGCCGCTCCTTAGTCCTGCTTTCAGCAAAATCGCCCACTTCCTTGTTCCCATTGCTGCCCCTGACCCTGCTAATGTGCGTTGTGCGGAGGCAGACCCGCCCTCTTTCCTCTGACTCAGGGGCTTGGGGCCAGGGTTCCTGTTCCTAGCACCTTCTCTCTCCCCTCCCCCTAGTCTGTGATCAGAATGGCTCTTGGCTGTGACATCACAGAGCCCTACCATGATGGTGGGCGAGTGGTGGGAGTTGAAGGGTCATGAGGTCAAGGCTGTGGCCGTGGGTATGGTTGTGGCTGGCTGGGCTGGGGCCCACAGAAACAGGTGGGCATCTGTTGGGACGCAGTGAGGAAGGAAGGAGGCTTGGGGTAAGGGATCAATGCCCCTCTGGTGGGAAGCCAGTCCTGGGTGGGTTTCTCTCACCCTGGTGTGGGCCTTCTCTCAGAGAGCTCAGCCAGCGGACCAAATCAAGCCCCTCCCACAGCCGCACTAAGGCGGTGTGGCCTACCAGGGCCTGAGTCACAGCAGGGACAGGGGTCTGGTGGCCTGTTGTTAAGGAGTTTTCTCTGGGCCCCTAGCTCCCAGCCCGGAGAAGGCCAAGACCTCAGCTCCAGAACCAGAGTCAGTCCTCTTCATAGACAGACCTGACTTCTTTGATTACCCCAACTCGGACCATGCCAGCCTCCTGGCCGTGTCCCAGTTTATCGGAGAGAAACCTGCCATCTTTGTTGACCCAGGTAGGAACCAGCTTGAGCACGGCCCCTCTCCTTGCTGGGGCCTGGAGGAGAGCCGCGCTTAGCCCTTGGGTGGGAGCTGAGTCAAGGGTCCCCTTCTCCCCGTCCCTGTCTAACAGGCTCCAGCGCTGACTTCTTCCACTACATCCTGGTGACTGCACTGGTGCTGACCTTCCTCTTCCTCCTCCTTCAGTTCTGCACCCACATGTAAGCCCCCAGGCCCCACTGACCTCCGTCTTCCTCTGGCGAGGCTGGGGGGACCCACAGCCCAGAAGACACCGTGTGACCTCCCACCTCTGATCTCATGTCCCACAGGAGCTGCCAGAAAGGGGCCTGAAGAGCAGATGAGTGGCCTGGACCCGGTCGTGAGCGGCCAAATCCACCCACTCTCTCGCCAGTTATAAAGCCCTGCTTTTCTTCTTCCCCCTCTGTGGGCAGCCGCAGCGTCTTCTCCCTCTTGCGGGAATCCTTTCTTCTCCCCAGGCAGCCAGCCCCATTCCCCAGGCCCTTGACCCCTCCTGCCCCCAAAGAACTGAGTGCGGAAAGGGCCTGATGGCGTCACGCAGGTCTCTTTATTAGCGGTCTGGAAAGCACCTCCCAGGGCGCTCCGGGCCCCAGATTGGAGGAAGCCTTGAGAGGTCTGTAGCACCAGGGACATGCCAGGGCCCAAGGGCAAGATGTGCAGCCGATGGGATGGGGAGGCAGGGGGCAGCCGTCCCCCTCCCCCCAGCAAACTAGTCTGGATTTGAGGGAATAAATAAGTAAGATTCCTCAGACTGGCCTCCCCTGGGGAGGAGGAGCTGTGGGGGCAGCCAGCTCTTGTGAGACCCACGGGGGTGGGTTGGGATGACCTCCGCCGTCCAGGTGACAGGGAGCTGAGAGGCAGGACGGCAGAGGGCTGGGATGTCCTTGGTGGCCAGGCTCCCCATGTTCTTTGACCCCTGGCCCCCCTGTGTCCCTGTCGGTCGCCCCATGAATCCTCAAACCCTAAGTGGATGGGGGGCCTCCCTTTAGCTTTTCCTTTGCCTCTTCAGGGCCCCCAGGGTGGGTGACTGAAAGGGGGCTGTGCGAGAAGGGGCTCACCCACCCTCAGTGTAGGCACCATGGGGAGAAGGGGTTCCCTTCTCTCCCCACCTTCCCTGTCACCTGCTCCTGGGCCCTCAGCTCCTGAGGGAAGCCGTTCCCTGCTCTTCCAAGCCCACCTGTCAGTCCTGTGGCTGTCAGAGCAAGAGGCCCCTGGCTTCCCCCCACCCATCAGGCCCAGCACCCTGTCCCCACGGAGAGTCCCGTGGCCCCACCCTCAGTCCTGGGTCTGACACGGGGAGGACGGCGGGGAGCCCCGGGGCCAGAAGAGGCGGCAGGCGCCACGGCAGATCAAGAAGAACCAGTAGAGCTGGGGGGCGAGCAGCAGCGCGGCGCCCAGGTTGACGTGGGCCGGGAGGGCGAGGGGCACAGAGAGCAGGGGCAGGCCGGCGTGCCGCCCGTAGGCCCAGTACAGGTAGGGGAAGAGCAGCACCCGGCAACACAGGAAGCTGAGCAGCATCAGGGCCCCGTTCACCTTGTGCAGCAGAGTGTGCTGCAGCTTGTACTGTGGACGGAGAGCAGGTTGGGGCGGGCAGGGGGCGTGGCCGCGCACCTGCCCCGCCCACCGGCCCACTACCCCGATGCCCCGCCCACCTGTCCGGGGCCCTGCTGCCCCGCCCACCTGTCCATGCCCTGCTGTCCCACCTACCCTGATGCCCCACCTACCTGCCCACTCCCTGCTGCCCCACCTACCCTGCTGCCCCACCCACCTGCCCACCCCCTGCTGCCCCACCTACCCTTATGCCCCGCCCACCTGCCACAACCCACTGCCCCACTACCCCAATGCCCCCTGACCTGATGCCTACCTATCCCTCTGCCCCCTGGCCCTTGCTCCGATGCCGGCCTACCCCTCTGCCCACCTACCCCTCTGTCCTCCTGCCCCTCTGCCCACCTCCCTGCTTTCCCCTCTTCCGAGACAGGGGCCAGGGTGAAGGCCCCGACCCCTCCCTCCTGCTTCCCTTCTACCCAGCTGCCTGCAACCTTAGAGCGTCTAGGACATTCCCTGAAATGCACCCGTTCACTTAGCAAGGCCCACTGCCCCCCACTCCTGTGCACCCCCCATCAGGCCCACAGACCCTCAAGTGCTCTCTCACCTGGATGAGGATCTTGCCAAGGCAGACAAACGGGGTGCTGACCTCCGCCATCAGCAAGCAGCCTAGAAAGAAGTCCCCCTTGCCCTGACGCCACACCTGGAGAGAGGAAGCCAGGTGAGGGGCGTCCGCTTCCCGGGAAGCCCCTGCCCTTCCTGTGTCGCCTTGGCACTTCTGGGGCTGCCTTACTCTGTCCAGTCTGAGCACACGCGCACAGGAATGTGAGCTAGGTGCACCCCTCACCACAACCCTCACCAATCCTGCAGGGAAGACTTCGGAGCTTACTACAGATCAGGAAACTGAGGCTGAGACACATGCAACATCCCCCAAGCCCGCAGCTGGGCAGACGCCAGACCCTCCTCTGACTGGGGCTGGGCCGGTGTGCAGGACACGCCCCTGTGAACAGGGGTGTTCTCTGGTCCTGTCCCGGGCCCACCCTGCTGCGGAGACCTGGGCCCAGTGCCTAGGGGACCCGCAGGGCAGGCAGGGGCAGGCTGTGCCCTAAGCCGGCTGACCCTGGAAGCACTCACCACGGAGAGTGGGAAGCACACGAACACCATGACGGCGTGGTGGAGCACCATGAGGAACTCCTTGTGCAGGTAGCCACGCGCCACGGCCCAGGTGCTGCCCGGGCTGCCGGCCCCGTCATCGCCGCCGTGCCCCTTGACTTGGTGCTTGTGCCAGTGGCAGAGGAACATGGCGTAGATGTCGTAGATGAAGTAGGGGACTGCAAACTGCGTGTAGGCAGAGGAGAGCCAGTGTCTGTGGGCAGAAACAGGGACCAAGTGGGAGGGATGGACAATTAGCAGCTGCCAGGGCGCTGCGTCAATGCCGGGGGTGCAACACGAGTCAGATCTCACGTGATGACCACAACACCCCCGAGACAGGCTCATGCTGTAGATGGTGCAACCAGGAGGTCCAGGGTAAGACGCCTGCCCAAGGTCACACGGTGACATGGCTGGCAAGGAGGAGAGCTGGGGCTTCAAACTCAGCACTGTCTGACTTCAAAACCCAGCCACTCTTCGTACTCATTCGTGTCCGTTTTCTCCACTCTCTCTGTGCCGTGAGGGGACAGAAAGGGTGAGAGCTACAGACCCAATGGAGAAAAACTCAGGCAGAGTCAAGGAGACAGAGCTGAGGTTAGGACTGGAACAGCAGAAGTGAGAGCAGTGGAGTGACTGGGGGGGTACGGAGTGTACTCCGTGATGGTGTTACACAGGGGGTGACACCACGATGACCTTAGGGTGCACAATGGGGCTCATGGCAGGCAGAGGGGCCACGGAGGCAGTGGTGTCTCTAGAGATGGTGCCACCTGTCAGCCAGTGTGCTAATTCATCACCATCCCCTGGCCCCTCATCACCCCCCAGGCAGTGTGCAGATGGGCAAGGGAGCCCACAGTTGGATGAGAAGGAGGGTCTCCAATGAGAGAGAGAAGGAGTTGTGGGGATCCTGGGGGGGGGGCATGGTGTTCACCAGCTGGCCCAGCCCACAGTAGGGTGGCTGATGAGAAGGGTGTGTCACCATGAGTTACTGTACTGGGTGAAACCAACCCTCGTGATACGACTGGAGGTGAGAGTGATTGAGAGAGACAATTATCTGCTAGCATCTGACCAGCTTAAAGGTTGATTCCGACTCATAGAGACCCCCATTGGGTTCCCAAGGCTGTAAATCTTTATGGAAGTAGATTGCCTCATCTTCCACTCAGAGCAGCTGGTGGGTTTGCACCACTGACCTTCTGGTTATCAGCCAAATGTCTTACCCACGACGCTACCAGAGCTCCTTTACGAGGGAGAGCACTGTTCTCACATTCTAAACCTCTTCTGTGCACAAACTCACCTACTCCCCATACAAAAATTCTATGAAAGGTAGGTATGATAATCATCTCCATTTTCCAGGTGAGGAAACTGAGTTAGAGAGAGGTGAGGTCATAATGGAACACACCTCAAGTCTGGCTCCAGAGCCCTTGCTCTCAACCTATGGTCCCTCGAAGACTCGAGAGAGGGGTCAGAGGCAGGCCTAGTCGGGAAGTTAGAAACACTGCCAGGACGCGCTTGCTCTGTCTGAATGTGGCCTGACTTCCTGCGTTTTTCAGGTACAGACAAGGACTAAGGGAAAATGCTGAGCAAAAGGAGCCAGCAATGGAGAAAGTTCTGTGTCCCTTTAGAGTAAACAAAATTGAGAAGTGCACGCATATGCATCATTGTGTTTATTCTGCCTGAGTCAGCACGTTGAGTGCTCTCTCTTACATCCTGTGGTCCTGCGACAAGTCAGGGGTGGGGGTGCTCAGAAAGGCAGGCCCAGGGGAAGCTGGCCAGCTGGATGGAGGCACAGAAGCTAAGTCAGCCTGAAGCTGCAGAGTCAAAGAGCTGAGACCAACTCTGAGGATCTGCTGAAGGAGAGGAGTGGAGGAGACCCGAGGTTGAAGCAAGCCAAGGCCTGAGGGCCGGGCAGCAGCAGCTCCAAACCACGGTGGGGGGAAGGCTGGCCTAGAAGGGGGGGCAGACCACCCTCTGGAAGGGATGACTGGTGCAGTGGTGCTGGGATGTGTGACTGGCGGGGGCTGGAGACAAGCGGGCAAACACAAAGGTTGAGGCAGAGTTGAAAGGAAGCCAACAGCAAGGAGCAGACCAGGACGTTGGGCCCAGCAGACACAAGGGACCACTGACTTGGGGTGGGGGCTCCCAGGCTCTGAGGTGCAATGTGAAGTGTTCAATCCCAGCCCCACCCTCTCAGCATGAGGTGCTCAGAAGGAGGAACAGCTGTTGCCCCTGGATTAACCCTGATCCTCCCGTCCCACCTGAGGATTAAAGTGGGGGGACGAGAACAGACCAAGGGGAAGGAAAGGCAAGAGCCGAGAGGTGACCTCTGGGAAAGGTGTGAGGAGGAAATGTGGGGAATCCAGGGTCACAGTGGGCCCGTCGGGGAAGAGGGCAGGGAGAGGGGAAGAGGAGGCCAAGTCACCAGGGCAGGGTGTGATGAAAGAGCCAAGTGTCTACTGTGTAGGAACCAAGACCTGTTCTAGGCATTTGACACACAACTCAATTCCTCTTCACAGCAACCCTTCCAGGCAGGGAATATGATCTCACTACAGACGAGGAAACTCATCTGCAGAAGAGGAGGCAGACAGACAACAGGGACACCTCTAGATCAGGGTCAGCCAGGCCATGTCCTCTAGGGCTCAGTGGCTGCCAGACGAGGCGGGCAGGGACAGGAGCTAAGAGTTCAGGAGGTACCATTCACTCAGCAGCCTGCGGGTCACCTAGCGCTGGCCCGTCAGCACCACGGACAGGGCCCTCTCCTCTCTCCCTCCCTCCTGCCCCACCTCTCAGGCCTGGGTTTTTCTGGCAAGTACCAGGCACTGCAGCAGCTGCCAGTGCCAAAATCTGGCCTCTTCCCCTCCCGCCCCTCCCCCTCTACTAGCTTGACCGTTAGTGGCCTTGTGGCGTCATCTCCTCTTTTCTCCCTCACGCACAGAGCTGGGCTGGACACATGGGAGGAGGTGAAGGGTGAGCCCAGAATGAGGAGGATCCCAGTTGGGTACTGGTTCTACCGAGGGGTGTCAGGGTGGGAGGAAGTAGGGGAGGAAACAGTATTCCAAACCTACAACAATACAAGAGGCTGGGAAGCCAACTGCAAACTGCTTGGAGAGTTTGTTGGATCCCCGCGCCTCCTCCAGGTTCTGACCTTTACGTACAGGACAGGGCAGGATGGGGATAAATTTATCCCTGGGTGTTGAGTTGCAGCTACCGCAGTTAACTTACTCAGGCCCAAGTGAAGGGCGTGGGGACCGCTGAAGGGGTTCCTAGAAGACTGGGGGTATGCAGGGTCACACATACACACAGCCTGCTGGAAGCAGGGCAAAGGTGATCTCGTGGCACTTACTGGTCATCAATGATGTGCCTGCAGGACGTGGAGACAATGTAGCCAGCTGTGGAGGCCATGATGGCCTGGACAGAGGACACCAGCCTAGGGAGAAAGATGGAGGAGTGGGGTGACGGGGAGAGCTACGTGCCCCGATTTCTCCTCTTTACTAGTTACCGTGCCTCAGTTTCGGTCACTTTATGGGGACCACTCCTTGCCCGTTGTTTCCAAGGCCAGGTTTGACCAGGGTTCACCCCCAGCCCCCCATCTTGCTCAGCTGCTTCTCCTCAGGTCACCCCGTTCATCTCTGTATGGGTTACTGAGTCACCTTTACTTCTTAGGAGGACCCAAGGGAGGTCTTCCTGAGGTGAGACAATGCGGGGAATGTGCTGCTGATAATAAGGCCGCCTCCTGGGGAGAGGAGGGGACCGTACACAGGTAGGAAGGGGAGCCCTGGGCTGTCCTGGCATCACTCAGCCGCCTGCTCATCATGCTGGTGGTCATCTCTCTGGTCTCTGATCCCAAATTCTCGTGGCCACTCTCCTTGACTGCTACCACACTGCCTGCCCCTCCCAGTGCTGGTCCCCATTCCAGGGTCACCCAGGGTTCTACCGCTCACTACTGTGCCCCTTGTCCCCTCAACACACACCATGAATACACACTCTCTGCCCTTCATCCCCTAACTTCTTAGAGAAATGTTTCAAACACATGCTGGCCCGATTTGGGATGATGGGAGGATGAACAGGGAAGGAGAGACAGCAGTCTGCATACTAGTAGACCAGATGGCTGGGTTTGGATGAGGTCTCCTGGGACAGTGAGTGAGGCAGTGGGGAGGGAAGGAAGCTTGGAGGTAAAGCCCACCAACCACTGCAGAAGTCCCAAGTGACCACAGAGCCAAGGGTCCAGGGAAGGCCTGGGCGCCCTCTGCAGCCCCCTAAAGTCTGCCACGGGGAAGAAGGAACGGAGGGAAAAGGACACGGTTACCTGGCTGAGACAATGACCGCGTCGGCCTCTTCCCAGCGCAGCTGGGGCAGCCGCTGGAGAGTGTTCTTGGAGAGGAGGAAGAGTCCGGGGAACACCACCCCCCCAGCCATCATTGGGGTCAGCATGGTGGCTCAGGACCCAGGCAGGAGCGGGCAGGCTGAGCCAAGGGAGTCAGAGGGGGAGAAGGGGCGCCAAGCCGGGGAAGGTGAGAGAGAAAGAGGAGAGGGGGGCACACAGCGGACAGGGCGGGGATGGGATGGGACCAGGGAGCCTGGAGCAGAGCAGCGTGGCGGAGACGGGAGAGGGCAAGCTGGCTGCGGCCTGGAGGGCGGGCGCGCGGCACACAGGGGGCCAGAGAAGGCCCGCGGGAGACGGGGCTGGGAGAGAGGTGGCCGGAGGACTTGGCGAGCGGACGGCCGGGGCGAGGGGACCGGAGGAGGAGGAGGCCGTGGG